CAGTCCAATCTAATACATAGTCAAACTTGGGGAACAGCTTTCTATCCTGGCGCCACCAACACCGAAGCAGCTGCAGCTCTCACCGTCTTGCTGAAGGGGTTCATAAATACTCCTGGGAAATGGGACAAAGATGCACAATGGATCTTCCCCTGCCAAGATCAGGGAAATGAATGTCAATCGCACCTGGACGCAGAAGTGCTTTTTGGTGGAGCGTGATGGATATTGCCATTTGTCCTATGCCACTGTAATCTTGGACAGGAAAGCCTAACACGGAGAAAAATGGTGAGAGAGAATACTGTTCTAGGACACTTGACAAGAAGAGTGTGTCATAATTATTTGGCAAACTGGAATAAAGGTGAAAGAAGAGTATAACAATGTGATTTAGTTTAGAAAAGGACATGATTTAAGAGCATACCTACACTGTACATATCATTTCATTCAGTATAAAGCTCCTCCCCCCAAATATGAATCTTTTATTGAAAACCAAATGTAAGTAAGTAACATCAGGGAGTCAGAAAATTGAGAGTGGTCTGTGTTCTTGGAAGCAATTCATTACAGGGACATAAAAGTGGTCTGAGGTGTTAGGAGAGTTGAGTTCAAGTCCCCACTATGTGACTTTAGGAAAATGACTTCTCTGTACCTCAGTTTCTTCTTTGGTAAAGCGATGATAATGGAACTCACTTCATGTAGTTCTTTCAGGACTACATTACATAATCTTAGTATGGCACCTAGAATTTGGTAAGTAGACTAACATTAACTGTTAGGTCTTATGCTGTTTTCTTCCCCCATAGTATTAGTTTATTTACATTTCATCATTGTACCTCTTTGCAGTATACAAGAGAAATCTTCACAGCATGAATACACTGAATATTAGTCCAGTCAAAGATATTACCATACACAACTTCCTTAAGACATAGTTTTACACTTTTGTGTCTGTTAAATGTTCCTCTTTTCTTTTCTTCCCTTTGATTCGCTCCCCACAGCCCCCACTGCCCACTCTGCTCCCACACTGTCTCCAGTATCCACAGTTGCTCTCCATGCCTTCATATCGTCTAATTGTTCCATTTCTGTCATAAAGTGCAGACATTTGGTATATACTAAGTGGGGACATACAATGTTTCTCTATCATAGTCTTGCTTGCTTCACTCAGCATTAAATCTTCATATTTGCCCACTTTCTATCAAATGCCAGGGTCTTCCTCCATCATCGTCACCATCATCATCACTGTCACCCATATCATTATCATCTTCCTCATCTCTCCAACTGCTTTATGGCTGGTTTTATTAGTGAACGTTAGAAGGAGAAGCTAACACTAGCTAACTCACAGGAAAACACGAATCAGTCTCCCCACCCACGTTAATCTCTGAAAATTGTAATAGTTTAAAGGAACAAATATAAATGCTTGATGACATAGTCTAACAAGTATATTCATCTAATTCACATTATCCTTGCTTTACCAAGCAATGGCTATCACAACAGGTATCTTACTGGAAAAAAAAAATGTGATAGAAAGTACTGTGAGCCCTATGTTCAGCGCCCATGTTCTTTGTGAAAAAGGATGAAGCAATAACTTGCTCAGTTCATTAGAGAACTAGACAGATCTTTATCTATGCTCAGTCATTTGGGATCACAGTCTAAAGGTTACTTCATTCCTTTCTTCACCTTTTCAAATAGACCAAACTCTGAAGGCATAGGACCAGTGGGGTCTGAATGGCTCTTTCTAATTCTATAATTCAGGTGGCTTCATCTCCTCAATCTTGAAGAGCCTTTCCTGAGCTCATGTAAGGTTGGGGCGAGCCCCTTCTGAAGTGCAACCTGCCATTGCAAGCAGGCGGTCCCTTTCAGCAGGTATGTCCCCAAATTAGATGAGGGGCCCAGCGCAGGTTGGAAAACAATGGCAACTTCCCGTCCTGGGTGTTAACTTTAGTTACCACAGCCAGACAATGCTGCCAGTGGTGTGGAAGAAAAAATTGCTGTAGCCAGCTGTGCTGTTCACAGTCGGATGGATTCTGTGTAGCTCCAAATGGTGATGGAGCCAGCAGCCTGTTGTAGCCAAGGACAGGATGATGGATGATCTACATACGCTGTCCAAGTAGAGAGAATGGCAGAAGTTCACTTCAGGGTTGTTAAAATGCTAATCTGGGTGAGTTAACAAAAGCTTACTAGAAAAGAAAAGTTTGAGAAATAAGTATACCTCATGTGGTATCTGTGTGGACCACTGATTTGATCGTCCCTGGTTACATAAGTGACTGTTTTTCAAAGTAAGAACATGTAGAAGCTTTCCTGTTGGGAGAAATGGAAGCACCTTCGGTTATCAGTTATACTGTCACCGTTGTCAGAGTCAGAGCAGCAAACTCAGCCTGACAACAGCTACCTCAACAGGAAAGTGTTACGCTATGCTTAATATGTACACGAGTTTTCATTCTCTTCATGTGTCATGGGAATATATCAAAACACACTTTTTTTCCCCCTACTAGAAGTTGGCAGCTGTTCACAAATTAAGCAGCAACCCAAGACATGGGCTTTGGTAGATTTTAACACTTAGTCTCCATTCACAGGAGGCACAGAAAGTGAGATCTCCTGCTCTAATGACTGATTCAATATGTGAATCACACAAACCATGCATTCAGTTATTCATTAGTGTTAAAGACAGGAAGCTGGACCTCAGTAAACATTTCGTGTGTATGGTACTGCTTCAAAAATCTCTGGGATAAGATAATAAACTCCAAAGGAAGAGTGTATATTTATGTTTCCTGCTAAATGATCCATTTTGCCATTCTGTATTTCTTTTTATTCTTGCTCCACTTGAACATTCAGAAACACAGCTGACCCACCTGATACTGGAACACTGACTAGCAAAGTCCCCTTGTTAACAACAGGTACCCAATATATACTGCCTCTTGCTTCCTGTAGAAATGAATCAAGAATGTGCAGGCTTAAAGTCTATTAATTGAAATAAAAGATAATATTTTATCCTGCACTAGGCTAAGGAAGGCATTCACTCCCCTCTGGTTACACTAATAATGGTTAGGCATTCAGCCAGGCTCTTAACTCTGCATAAAATGCATCTATCGGAAGGGTGAAAAATGACCCTATTTCAGATGCATTTTTCACTCTTTGTATCTCAGTGAAACTCACATGCAAGAACAATGACTAAGCTAATTACCAAGGTTCATTATGATGGAGCAGCAAGAAGTAGAGAACTTCTCCAATTTCAGTAAGTCCATGACAATTACGGGCATTTTGTGAATCAAAGCTCTGAGTCCTGTTTACTGGCCTGCAGCCTTTCAAAAGACAGAAACCGCCATGTATGATGCAGGGACCCACTTACCCCAATCACTGTCACTGGACAGAGCCTTCCTGTGCATCAAGCCAGTGTAGTGAAGTCCTCTGATTTCTAAGTTGCCCTCTCTCTAAGGACTAATAGGTTTACGTCACAGCCATCTTTCAAATCCATCAAATCAGGGGAGACATGACCAGATGGTGCTAGCAGAGGGCACGCACACACACACACACACACACACACACACTAAAAAAGAAAAAGAAAACTAAAAAAAATAAATAAATAAAACATAAAAGAAGGCAGAATGCCCACAAATCTAAATCAGACTCAAGGTAACCAGCTGTCTGGTCATGGGGAAGTCACAATATTTCTGGCATACTCTCCTACATCACAGAAATGCTTCTCAAAAAAAGGTTATGTAGCATCCTTATTAGAAATGAGACTAGGCAGCAATATTCAGTTTTTTTTTAAGAAACAGTAGCTAGTTGTCAATCAGGCTAAACGTGCCAATGGAAGAAGATGGTCTGCGGGGAACAACACTGTGGCAATCGTATCTGTGCCACTGTCTTTCCGAGAAGCACGGTCTGGAGCCCTAAATCAAAGCGTAGACATTAACTACACAAACCACAAAACTCAGCTATGCCTGACTGTATTTTATTTACCTTAAGATATTTACGTTCATGGTTAGAGAGAGACCCAAATCTCAGACTTATCTGGCAATTTCTATGTCCCTAAGTCAGAGTAAATGTTTGTCTAGTATCTACCAGCCTGACGGGATACGGCTGTCACTTACTACATTAAACATGACTACACACAACTTAATTTCCTGAGTCAGACACCTAACAGAGGGAGGGGACTTCGTTTTCAATAGTATAAATAAATCAGCATCAAAAACTTATTGCTTTAAACACCAAAAAGACAGTGACAACCCCTCTCCCTGAGCAGTCTAAGATTCTTCAATATTCCAAGGAAGAAACCTTGAAAATTTTCTTCAAACAAGTATTTTTCCTATTCTGAGAGACAGAGATCAAACCAGTTCAGAAAAATGTTAAATCTTTCCCTAGGACTTAGACCTAGAAATAAACAAAAGAATCCACTTTTTGCCCCAAAGTAAAAAAAAGGTCTTTAAAAAGCACCTATACTTTTTAAGTAACCGTAAGTTTAAGAGGAAATTGCCTAGACATACCCTCAACCCGGTAACCAGAAACTCTATGGTTATTTTTAAGGGAAGGAGATCCCATTGTCATGGACATAGGGTCCAGTTATTATTTACAAAGTCCATATCTGTAGTAATGACCTGTCCATTCTGTGTGAAAATCACCCTGCTGGGAGCAAGACAGGGCTGGGATGCTGGAACATGGGTTACTGACCGTTCACTCCAGAACAAGCAGTACTGCCCTGAGTTCCCCTAATGCTGTAATTCATGCTGGTTCTTCCATTCCTCCTAGCTTCGTGCCATTTAGCTTTTCACAAGTTCAGGACTGAAACAATCGCCTGACATCAATGGTCCTGAGAGTCGATTGAGCAGAACATTTTCAAACCCAGTTCTCATCCACGTCTCCAAGTCCTTTATGACCTTTCATCTCAATCCAAGAGTTATACATGACAGAAAGAGCGATAAGCCCTTCCATATTACTCAAGGCCGGCTGCTGTATCAGTTTCTGCAGACCAGGAACAAATATCACCACTGTCAAGACAGGAAATAAAGTTTCCCTACCTTCCTCCTCCTCACCATACTCCCGCCAGCGGTGTAGATGCGAGCGGCGGCTCCCTCGCGGCTGCAGGACGCCTCTGGCCGCCGCAGAAGGGGCTCATGCAAAATTGACTCTTCCTTATTTGTTTCCATCCATAATTGATGGGGAGATGAGAACGTAACACATCTCAACGCTGAGATCTTGCCGCCTGGCGGAGACCCTGTCCAAGACGCTTCCGTGAAGCCCTTCCAGCCCGAGAACAAAGCGCGGAAAGTTGCCGGGGAGAGTAGCCGGGAGGAGAAACCCGGGCACCGGGTGGGCGGTGGGTGGGCGGTGGGCAGCTCCTGGCCCGAGAGCAGATCTGCGGCGCGCCTGGCCAGCAGGGGGAGAGGGAGGGTGGGAAGCGTCCGCCTTTGGACAGGAGCTGGTGCTGGAGCCCGGCGCCCGAGGTGGGGGATGGCCCCCGCCCCTCCCCTGCGTGCGCTCCCCCGGAGCGGTCCCGCCCCGGGGCGCACTGACAGGTAGCGGGCGCCCGCGGGGGCTGCTCTGTTCTCGCTCGCGACGCTGCGCCCCTTTTCCCGGGAGCCTGCGAGCGCTCCCAGCCAGGCCCCGCGGTCCCGCTGCCCGACCCGGCTGTCTAGCGTCCTCTCCCGAGGCTGTCGGTCGGAAGGAGCGGCTGAGCTCAGAGCTGGCTCCTTCGGCCTCGGCTCGCCTCTCTCCCGCGGGCTGAAGACGCTGTGCCCCGCACGGAGGCAGCCCCGCTCCCCCTGGCAGTGTCGGGGAGCGCCGAGCTGGCCCTGCCTGGCAAGAAACTTTTACTTGCTGCCCCCTCGGCCGCTCCTTCTCCGAAGCGGGGGTGCTCAGTGGAGGAGGTCCTGCGAGTCCACGGGCCCCTCCCCCCAACCCCAGCTTTGCCAGTTCTGACGGGTCCGCCAACCTCTCTCTGCGTCCCTGGCACCGCAGGCGGAGAGAGCTGATCGGAAAAGAAATCAACTCTCCTGTGACACCACACACACACACACACACTCTCACACTCAACACACACACACACACACACACACACGCTGCAATTCCGGGTCTGAGGTTCTGGGTCTGATCCCCACCAGGCGCCCTGAGCATTAGCAAATTTTTACAAAACGGTCTTACCTCATGGAGCAGGCTGGTTTTGTTTGTTTGTTTGTTTGTTTGTTTGTTTTTTAAAAAAAGGAGAAGAAAAGCTTGTCACGTTCAAGAAAAACAAAAAGAAAAAAGAAAGAAAGAAGAAGAAAGAAAAATAGATATCGCTGTGTCTCCTTAGGTCTTAGCTTCCTCGATATAATCCTGAAAGTCTCCACCACCAGTCGTTGCAGCGGCGGCGGCTGCAGCGGCGGCAGCGGGACGGAGCAGGAGCAAAACAAACCGATGCACGGCAAATGGTGTAATTCGATCCATCTCCAAGTCAATCCATCAGGCGAGCCGGAGCCTGGTTCCCTCCACGCACTCGGCGGCTTCAGGCGTGGGTCCCACCCCCGGGCGCGGACGGCAGGAGGCGCGGGCGGCCCGGGCGCTCTTCTGCGCACCCTCCCTCTCCCCACCTCTGAAGAGCTGCGCCTTCCAGCAACTCCCAGCGCCTCAGTCGCCCGGCTCGCAGTGGCTGGGGCGGCCCGCGGGGG